TCCATACCCAGGATTTGGCGACTGGGCCCCTTAAAAACCCCAGTCGCCATTTAAAAGGGGAAGTATATAAGATATTTATCCCACCTTCTTTAGCGTGCTTTCGTGGTCTCCTGCCTGGCCGCGTATTCCAGAGGTCCACGGTTTATACCCAGCAAAGGTGTTGCTTATTTTTCATCTCTTCTGCTTTCAAAAAATACCTAATGTCCTTATAGTGACGCCCGAACTAAAATGGTGGTGGATGATGATTCTCCACACCCAGGATTTGGCGATTGAGTCCCCTAATCCCCAGTCGCCCTTTAAAAGGGGGAATTAAAAACATTAAATAAATAACAATAAAATTCACTGCATGGTTTAGATAAATGAAAATGCACCTCATTCTGAGAGCAACAGAAGATATTGTTTAACAGGGCAAATCCATTCTAACTATACTATGCAAAATATCTTTTTGTTAAGGAAAATTTTTCTTAACATTCATCCTACTAAAACGAGTGAATTTAAATTCATATTATTGAAGTATTGAACATCGCCTTTGCCTTCTCACTTCATCAGCAAGAAAAAAAATGGGAATCATAATTAAGCATTTTTTAAATAAAATATTAAGTTCAATATAAAAAAAAGAAAAGAAAAATTTAAAAGCTTTCAGATTTTTATCAAATTTTATTTTTACACATTTAAGTTTCATCAGCAACAAAAAAATGAAAATGATAATTAAATATTTTTTAAATAAAATAAGAAATTCAAATATAATAAAAAATTAAAATGAAAATATAAAAGAAATAAAATTGAAAGGTTCAGATTTTAAATTACGTCCAAAGGGGAGTTTTTTTAAAATTTCTGAACATCTTAATTTTTTTATAATATTTCAACCTTTATTTATTAAATATCATGCTCTTCGCACTTAAACCAGAAAATTCAGTTCAAGAGCAATATCGCAAAATAATTTTAAAATGAGCCTATCTTCAGAATTTGAGACACAGTCTCGCGCGCTGGAGATAAAAATGTTTTTCTATAAATCATTGACATTGCTCGCTTTGAAATCCTTGAGTTTATTAATCAAAAATTCGTTAAAGTTTTACAAAATATTAAATCGATAATAAAACAAATTTAAAATTTGGGCTTCCAGATGCTCATATTCGCAGGAGGATTACGTTATTCAAAATTTGGGCTTCCAGATACCCATATTCGGTGGAAGATTACGCTATTCAAAACTGGATGGCTCTAGGTACCGCTGTTTTATCACAAAGCGCGAAACATACATACATTCGTGCTGATTCTTTATTATTTAATTTCTTTAAATATAATACAGAGCGATAATATTGGGTGGCAACAATTTGAAAAGTGAAACAACGCTTGTAGTGAATCAAAGCAAAATGCCAAAATGAAGTTCATAGACCTTCTGGTCAAATTGCCCCGTTGAACTAACAAAAAAAGAAGATAAAAATAAAAATCTGAAAGCTTTCAGATTTTATATTACACCCAAGGGAGCGGTTTTTTTTTTTTTTTTTTTTTTTTTTTTTAAGTTTTGTGTGTTACCTTTAATTATTAAATATCATGTTCTTCACACTTAAACCATAAAATTTAATTCAACGGGAATATCGCAAAGTAATTTTACAATGAGCATACCTTTAGAGTTTCCGATACACAGTCTCAACGCGCTGGAATTAATTTTTCCCCCCTCCGTGCAATGCTGCCATTGCTCGCTTTAAAATCGTTGAGTTTGTTAATCAAAATTTCGTTAAAGTTTTACAAAATATGAAATCGATAATAAAAGAAATTTCAAATTTGGGCTTCCAGATGCCCCTATTCTAGTGGAGGAAAACTTATTGAAAATTTACTATCTCTAGGCACCACTGTTCTTTCGCAGCGCGAGAAACATATATACATTTATGCAGATTCTTCATTATTTAATTTCTTTAAATATAATGCAGGGCTCCAATATTGGGTGGCAACAGTTTGAAAAGTGAACCGACATTTATTGCGAATTAATGCAAAATGCCAAAACGAAATTAACAGCCCTTCTGTGCTAAAGCCGCTTGGGCTAAAAACTCAAATGCTTAATAAAATTGCTTTAAATTATCGCATTCATATAACCAGTTAATTCCCGAAAGCGTTCATTTTGGTGTGTTTTTAGACAACAATAAAATCCCTGTATCTTAAGTCGAATTTTAAACAAACATTCAAAATTCCAATTGAGATAATACATTAATAAACAAATAATAAAATCCTAAAAAAACTCCAAATATATATTTAAATTAGCTTATAGTATTTATATTATAAGGTATTTTCCCTCTCCCTTCCGCATTCCCCGTAATGTAACTCGACGCACGCACGATCGATGGGTATTTGGGAGGCTGGAAGTTCGAATCCCGGCTAGGATATTGCATATTTCCATGTTCCTGCATCGATAAAACTTGATGATTTCTATAGTATAACCCAGGAATGGGTCAATTCCGGCCCACCGGAAGGTTCTATCCGGCCCGAGGATAGAATTTTAATTTGCTGGTCGGAGGTAAATTAAAAAAAATATATATTTATATATTCATCTTCTTTTCTACTTTGTTTAAATATTATTTTTTTCATTCCTGTTTTTCAAAGGACTGATGATCTTTTTACTTTCTCTATTTTTGTCCCAAAAAAACAAAAAACTGACGGAAATAGCAAGCACAGACAGCTTTCAATCGATAAAGTGTTAAAAGCGGAAGTTCTTTGTTAGTTATAACTGTAGATTGGTGCCAACAAGCGTTATCTCTTTCTCGGGGAGCAGACATATGGGAATCCAATATAGGTGGCTTAGACCTCTTAGAAAAAACTTAATCTTAATTTAACCCTTTGTTGCGTACAAATAATCTAGAGAAGTTAAACGAAAATGTTTGTGTTTTTTCTACTTAAAATAACCTTAATAATAAAAAAAATTAATTTTATTCAACTTTCGTTATAAATAACTGCTACAGTTTGTTCACTTTAGTGGACAGCATTCATACAAATCTCTTCCCAATGATTTACGGTCATTGCATCTGAAGTCATTTTTTGCCTTGTTTGCAGTGATCGTTACCATCTTCTAAATGGTACTGACACGTACAACTGACTTCACTGTCTACAACTGACATGTACATACAGATCTTCCAAAATACCTTCATTTCGTCGATTGTGATTGCATTCGTTTTGTTACGATTTTGTAACCTGTACCTATTGGATTCAAATGTCAAATGTTCTAGAAATTCCTTGCCAAACATAAACATTTCCAGTCTTGTTTTGGCTCGATAAGCAGTCCATTTGGGTTTCAATTCACTCTTTTCGGTAGATCTTTATCTACACACTCCACAATTTTCTCAAACTGACATTTAAAATAAAATGTCTAAAATGACTAATTATGAATAAAAAATAGCAGTATAAGAAAATGTAAGCAATATTATATAATATTTACTATGAGAAATTGTACTAACTTGGAAACAGAAGTAGCAGCCATTTTCCAAATAGCAATGCTTTACTTAGTGATGCTATGCAGCCATCTATGATCGAGTGTTGAAAGTTCTAATAATACAGAATGAATAAATACAGGAATGGAATCTGTTAAGGCGTTTACAGAAGAATAAACAAATTTAAACTTTTGTCTACTAGATAAAAGAAAGACAACAAAGGGTTAATTATCTTAACTTAAAACTTTATAAGAAATTTTAATCTGTTTGCTGGGCAGGTAGCTAAGAACGACTTGTCTCATTTGCCGAGGTAAAATTCAATACATTCAGTAAAGGAAGAGAAGCTTAAGAATTATGAAGATGGCTTGAAAAAAATTACATTTTGAGTTCGAACGAAAATTTCAAGATTTCAGTGCCATTGAAACAGAAGTGGATATTTTAACATACCTTTACACGTAAATTGTGAAGCAGTGAGATCAGATTTGCAGCTTGAATTAATTGAGTTGCAATCTAACCATCGTCTCAAGCAGTTGTTTTTAAATATGCCACAGTTAAAGTTTTACAAATCATTATCGAAAGTAAGTTTTCCCAAATTTAATATCTCACGCCCAGAAAATCAGTGCTATGTATGCTTCATCTTATATATGTGAACAAGTATTTTCAATTATGAATCTTAGAAAGATGTATTTCAGAAATAGACTGACAGATGAGCATTTAGCCTCGTTCCTTAGAATCAGTACATCTCACTTCGAACCTCAAAATAAGGAACTTTTAAAAATGAAATCGCAATTTCATTCATCTCATTAACATATTTAAATTGCAATACTTGTATATTGTTTTAAAATTTTAGAAAAATTTATCTTGGCTCGCCATTTTTTTTTTTTTTTTTTTTTCCGATTTTTGGCATGCGACCAATAAAGTTTTCCCATCCCTGCTATAACCAATTATATTTCCAGTAACATTAATTTCGATATAATTTCAGAATATATTAAAATCCCTTCATCTTAATTGGAATTTGAAACAAATGTTTCTGGAAATTGCTAATATTAGTCCTCGCACAATCAAACGACCCCACATTTTGTACACCCACATCGTTCGATTGCTCCATCGATTTCAAAACATGTCATATATCAAGGGTCTTGCTATAGACTGACCCTTCATTAATGAATTTAATGTAAATGCCCTTTGGAATACTTTCATTCGTGTCGCCCAAGGCTGAGAACGATAAAGAAATGACCTTACAACCACTACTCAACAAGAATATAATTTGCGTAATTTTTCCTTCCAGAGAAGAACCGTTCAAGAAAACTGCCTTCTGGAAGAACATTTTGAAACATCTGACGATACCCCCATTCTATATTCTAAAAGCACACGAAGGGCAGGGCCTTCGTGGTTAAGTTGAAGCACGGTCAAAAGCATCAAAGGTGGTGCCCTCAATCCCCAAAATCAGAACATGAATATGCCTGCTGTTTTACCTATCCTGGATTGACTGGTTTAAGAGGGCGGTTAACGCCCAAATAACCGTTTGCGAAAATTATTCCATGGCTTTTTTTTTTTAGTTCCTTTTTTTGTGCATGTTATTTTTGTCATTATTCAATGTAATTCTTCCCCCCTTTTGTTTCGATTTCAACCGCCCTCATATCGAGTATAAATACTCCATACCCTCAGTAGGAAAGCACCATTCGCCTCTTGGAACCTATTCCTTCTCCAAGCAACTCCAGTCATCAAAGATGAAAGTGGTAAGTTGTTCACCCTAAATGATTTCCAGTGCTCTAGGCATCATAGTCGATAAAACAATGACTGGAATATCTTCTCGACTTAAAAATTCGCTTTAAAACTAATGCAGTGTTAAAATCATGTTAGAACTTATAATCTTAGCAAAGAAATAGGAAATTTTAACTTAACTTTAAGAGAAAAAAGTAGAAACTATTTTTTCATGACAATTTTCTACTTAATGAGACTATTTTCTACTTTATTGTACTATTTTGTTAGAGTATTTTCTACTTTAAGAGACTATTTTTATGAGTCAAAAATAATTTTGATTTAACTTTTTTCTCTTAAAGACTATTTTCTCTTAGAAAATCACAATGAAATAATAAAATTTAAAATATTTTTACAAATAAAATATCGTAAAAGCTTATAAAATTTAATATTCTTAATTTAATCAAATATTAAATCTGTTTGCAATAGAATAATTTTTAACGGCAACTGTACTTTAAATATGTTTTTTAACTTTTTCGGAGTTGATTCTTTTTATGAATACAATGTTATTTTTAAACAATTTAGAAATTTTATTAATAGTGAACAAGCATAGGAATCATAGTCGATATAATAATGGTTGGAATACCTTCTCCACTTAAAAATTCGCTTTTAAACTAATGCAGTGTTAGAATCATGTTAGAACTTATAATCTTTGCAAAGAAATAGGAAATTTTGACTTAATTTTTTTCTCTTAAAGACTTATTTCTTGTGAATATTTTCTCTTAAAAAATCACAATGATACATTTATAATATTTTTAAACATAAAATATCGTAAAGCTTATAAAAATTAATTTTCTTAATTTAATCAAATATTAAATTTATTTGCAATAGAATAATTTTTAACCGCAACTTTGCTTTAAATATGGATTTTAACTTTTCAGGAGTTCATTATTTTTATGAATACAATATTATTTTAAACAATTTAGAAATTTTATTAATAGCGAAAAAGCATAGCAAATTAGGAATCATAGTCGATAAAACAATGGTTAAAATATCTTAAAAATTCGCTTTAAAACTAATGCAGTGGTAGAATCATGTTAGAACTTATAATCTTAGCAAAGAAATAGGAAATTTTGACTTAACTTCTGTTTTCTCTTAAAAAATCACAATGATACATTTATGATATTTTTAAACCTAAAATATCGTAAAGCTTATAAAAATTAATATTCTTAATTTAATCAAATGTTAAATTTATTTGCAATAGAATAATTTTTAACGGCACCTTTGCTTTGAGCATGATTTATACTCCATACCCTCAGCAGGAGTGAAATTTTTAAAATTGTTTTCAAGTCCAGTGAAAAGCATCTGAACTCGTTTCAGAACTTTTTTAATATAAAGCTTTCTATTCTATATCTTATACGATTATTTAGTTACTTCAAAACAATTTTAACTTAACTTTAAGAATTTTAAAAGGATCTGTGGTTGCTTCGTTTCAAAATGCCGAGTAAAATCACATATTTATTTCGAAACTTAATTTCTATTACTGTTGTAATAAAACCTTAATATTTTGCATTTGAACTTCAAAAATAAACTTTTTTGTTTTGTATTTTTCCTGATAAAAATTTAGCTTGTCAGAGACTTAAATGTATGTACTATCCGTACTGAATATTACAAAGATTTTAACCAAAACATTACATTTTGATATTTCTTAACTGAAATGGCTCTGGTAGAACACTTTTCCCAAACATTTTTTAGAGGAGAAAATCTAAAAAGTAATCTTATAATAAAATCTACGCAAAAATTATTTCAGTTCATCATTTTTAGAATGATTAATTGAATCAGAAAATTTAATACTAGAAAAATAATATATAAAGCTTTTTCCAAAATTGTAAAAATATGTTCTTTGCTTACATTTTATTCGACTTAATTAAGATGTTTAAACGTGTTGATAGTTTATATTTTTCAGAAAAGATATTCAGCAGTGTAGAGAGGAAACTTGAATTCGCTTTGCATAATTTCAACTTCCATTTGCTTTGCTGCCCACCAGCCGCTAAGCGGTTAAATCAACTAAACACCGGTAATTCGACCTGGGTTCGATTCCAGCCGAACGACCAGGTTCCTTAGCCGTTTTCGTGATTTTTTCCACGTATAACGTAGATACGAACCGATTTTCCTTATAAAATTATCCACGAAGGCGTCCATCGCCTTCTGCAGTTGGCCTTACTTACTTAGAAATGCCTCCACTTGGGCTTAAACTCAAGAGTGTAAGAAATAAAAACTAACTGATGACTAACTAAAGAGATTTAGCCCAAGCTAACACAGATCTAAGCCAGTTGGCCCCTAAATATCGAATTAGTTAGCGAACACCAAGGGTACGTAATACGGCCGAGCGTAGTAACAGATTACAGAGACGTAACCGAAAGGCAAACGCGCGCGCTATTCAGAAAGTCTTGATTCTTTCTCTGGAAGTCGGTGGAACTTCGACTTAAATACTACTCCTTCCCATTTGCATTAAACGCGATTCTAAAAACTCATTCTGGTAAGGAATTGTAAGCTGAAGCTAGGAGAGATGGGAAAGGTGCATAAACTTAAAACTAATTGTTATAAACTTAGCATAAACCTATAAGGCCTTTCTCCCGCCGGGGAAAGTGCAGAATCACCCACTGCTTGGAGCTTTTTTAAGAATTGCACAAACTCTATATCCATGCATCGACCTATTTTCACTTAAAAAAAAATCAGAGAATTGCACAAATTCGGCACTGCGCACTCCCTTAATTATGCCCACGTACACATCGATGTATTTTCACTTAAAAAGTCAAAAAAAAATTGACAAAAATCCAATTCTTCTTACGCTTGTAAAAAGCGCCAAACATAACGCGCCAAATAAGTGGATTCTGCACTACACCTTATGCGCCTTTGTGGTGCAAAGATCAGCACGCTCGACGCGTATTCGAGAGGTACGTGGTTCGAGTCCCGGATAAGGCGTTGCTCATTTTTCATCTCTCCTGCTTCGAAATAACCTTATGTCTCTACAAACCTTACAATCTTTCTTAAGCTCTTTATGTTCTGTTTCTAATCAATGCCCTTTAAAAAGCATCATCAACTGGCATGCAAAATAAGCTGAAGTGAATTCCACATATAAAAAAACTTAAACATTTCAGTTGATCGTCGCCGTCGTTCTCTTTGCTGTGGCATTGGCCGAGGAACTCGAAACAGCTGAATCCTACCCAGTGGCCGCCGTCTACCATAGCGCCCCAGCCTACGCTGCATCTTCTGCTGGTCATGCTTACGGTGCCCATGGACAACACAGTGCCGGATATGGAGCTCATGGACAGTCTCACTATGGAGATCACGGACGTTATGGAGACAAGGCTTACGCTGCTCAAGCACACCACAATATCGGAGGATATGGAGCTCATGATGCTTATGGTGCCCAAGCTGCCCAATATGGAAAATACCGTAATGTAGGAGCATACGCCCAAGACAAGGTAAGCAAATTGCTTTATCTGCAACACTTTGTATCTCAGATTTTGTTATGAGGACGGTACACTGCGCAAAGAAAAAATGGCACAGTTGAACGGGAGATATGAAACTGTTGTTGTAGAAACATTTGAAATTTATTTGCATAATTTTTTGAACTGGCCCAATACAAAATATGCAACCGAATAAAAGATTTAAATCGATGCAGTGATCCATGCATAAATTTGCCGAAAGAATTACAAAAAGGAACTGATAATTTAAATTCTTCAACGACTAATAGTACACATAATTTAAATAATATTTTTTGATTGTTCAGAATTATAAAGTTTATCAATATCGATGAAAATGTGATTTCAGGCAGATTATCTCGCATTTAAATTTTGCTCACAACCGATGAGATATCAACGTTTAGGTTTTCTATCAAAAATAGATGCATATTGCGGCATTTAAAAAAACTCTCGTTTGCCGCGATTTGTAGCAGATTTGATTTCAGTTGAGCATTAAAGGAATGATTGCCCAATCATGCTGCTTGGAAAGTACTTTACTAAGAACCTTTTCACTCTATTAAGTGACCGTTTGTGACTCTAAAAAAGCCATTTTTCGACCTTCAGTGAGATTACAAAGAGACGACTAAATAAATATTTAATTGAAAGCATGAAATTAAAATTTTATGATTACTGTTAGTGTGAAGCTTACAATTTTTTACCTTAGTAGGCGTAAAACAAGTACAACAAGTACACTAAAATTAAAACTTAAAAAAAAATAAAATAAAATAATATCTGAAAGATTTCAAATTTTAAATTATGTCCAAAGGGGCGTTTTCTTTTTTTGTGTTGTTGTGTGTTACTTTTATTTATTAAATATCACTTAACACTTTGAGAGGCAGGAAAAGACAATTAATGTTTTCAGCAAAACTCTTGTTTCATTTACTATATCAGGTGTTACGATGAAATTATTTGTAACAATTAGACATATTTTGTCCAAGACGCGTGAAAAAAATGAACCATTCTGGTATTTCGTGTCAGTGACCACTGCCCACAGAACACATCCCTACAAAGCAGAGTGAAACTCTGCATGTGCTGCATTCCCACACTGTTCTTACAATCTTTTTATTAGTGCTGTAACGTGTACATCGTCGTGATGTTGTCTTCGATGCCTGATGCTTATTTTCTTGAAGACGAATTGCTGCATCAACTAATGGCTTATGTTTCTTGATTGCCATCTAGTGAGCTACAAGAGAACTTCAGAAATGGTTCTTGAAAACCACTCACACGAGTGAGTAAGACGTTCAGTAGAAAAGGTGGTTATTGTAGGTAACCACCGCCCTTCAAAGAGTTAAACCATAAAATTCATTTCAAGAGCAATATTGCAAAATAATTTTTAATTGAGCCTATCTTTAGAATTTGCGATACACAGCTTCAAGCACTGGAGATACAAATGTTTTTTTCTGTACAACGTTGCTAACGCTCGCTTTGAAATCCTGGAGTTTGTTACTCAAAAATTCGTGAAAGTTTTTAGGATAACGTCATTCAAAATTGAGTAGCTCTAGGTACCTTTGTTTTATCACCATGCAAGAAACATAGATACATTTATGCAGATTCTTTTATTTAATTTCTTCCAATATAATACAGGGCGATAATATTGGGTGGACACAGACTGCAAAGTGAAACGGACATTCAAAGTGATTCGACGCAAAATCGCAAAACGAAAACAATAGTCCCTCGAGAACAAAGCCCCTTTGGATTAACAAAATTTACTCTCAAACTGACATGAAAAACACTATATTTGTGCTTCTTTCATAAAAGTTTTCCGAACATGATGAAAACAAGTTCAGTTTGCATAAAAATTTCAAATTCTTTTACAGGGAGCTGGTTACGAAAAAGCTTATGCTTACGACAAGAAGGCCGGACACCATGGAATTGTTTCCGACTATGGCGCAAACCAGGGAAGCTATGGAGTTCACGACAAGAAAGCATACCACAATCTTGGAGCACACGCCAGTGCTGGACATGACAGATATGGTGCTCACGACAAGTATGGTGCTCAAGCTTATGGAGTTCGAGCTCACGATGCCTCAGCTTACGGAAAATACGGTAGCGGACATGCCCAGATGGTCCATGTAGCACCCGCTGTCTACAGTCACGCTGCTGCCCCCGTTGTCTACACCCAAGCTGCACCAGCTGCTTACGGACACGCTGCTCCAGTTGTCTACAGCAAATACTAAAAAGGGTAATTAATAAATTACACATAAATTATCACTTAAGAACAGTTTAAAGAGGCAAATTATATAGCCTTGAAGAAAACGTTCTAACTACCTTGTAAGATTTGTCTCTGTTATTCCCCATAAACTAAATTAGATTCTACAACAGTGGTGGCGAAACGTTTTGGCGCCGCGTGCCATTCCGTTTAAGATATTAAATTAGAATTATTCATAATGGGCCTCAAAATGCTTGGATCTGATAACTGGAATCTATTTAACAATGAAAGTATTAAAACTCACCAGCAGTCTGCAATAAATCTAAATTCGTTTAGCAAACATTAGCTGCTTCAACTTTGGCGTATTCTTTTGCCATGTAATGAGATTGGCCCAAACAGTTGAAACGTCATAAATTGGGTCAATAAATACGTATATCATTTCTATACTGATATATGAAAATCTTATATCTAGGCTTAGATTCTACGTCAGTGGCATTATGCGATTAAGTAAGTAAGTGAAACGTTCAAGAACAGACTAAAACACTTATTTAAATTACACAGTATCATTTTATTGTGATTTGAGGAAGTAATATTTTAGTCGCGTGACGGCTGATCATGCTCTGCATGCCGACTGTGGCACGCGTGCCACAGGTTTGCCATCACTGTCTTACAATGAACTCTCGCACAGGCGTGATAAGACATGGCACAGGCTAAGAGGTTTACTAGCGTAACATCGAGATAGTACTGAAAGGTGCGCTGGCTATCAAAAACACTCTCTGAACAAACTCCGAAGAAAGTATGAACGAATACTTTATTACCGCTCGTGGACAATGAACAAAAGGAAAAGAAAATAGCTAGCTATATATTAAGAAGTTCGCCAAGTGAATTATTCTTGGCGAAAACTGAAAAAAAATGCGCCAAGATAAATTTTTAAATTTCACACCAAAATTACAAAATTTAAAATCTAGGCATAATTTGAGTCGTAGAATCAAAATATGGAAAAAAATGGTATGCCATTTCAGAAAAAGTCCGATTTTGTGTCAAAATACTTATTTTACAACAAATCTATACATAAATCTAATATATATTCTGAGTGGCGCTTTCGAGACATGGAAAATGCAATTTGAATTTCGACAATCGGCCCTGTAGAACGAGAGATATAGAACTGCCCCCCTTTTATTTTTGCGTAGTGTGCAATAGAAATAGGACCTGATTTATATCACATAGCCGCCTTTTCTCTTCAGTAGATAAATGCTGTTGTATGTCTTTTAGTACTTTATTAACCACAATTATGCATAAATTCAGAAATACCTAATTCAAGAAGACTAGGTTTCGAACATATTTCTACCGAAATATTTTGGAAATGACATCTTAATACGGTGCGAAATGTCCCTTTATGTATGTCAAAAATTATTATATTCGTTTCCCAGTTTAATCCTAAGTTTTAAGCTTCCTGTTTAAATCACTAGCAAGCTAAAGAAATATTTAATCTGAGTACATACTTCAAATGGAAATTACAATACAGCAAAAATTTTTTTAATTGAAACTATTCGGTAAAACTTAAATTTAGGGAACTATTCAGTAAAAATATACAGGTCTAAGTAGAAGCTTATATTATAATCCATTTATAAAGACTGCACAGTGGCTTCCAAAGTGTTCGTACACTTACACAGTTTCAGTGAAATATTGCTTTTTTATTAATAAAAATTAATATTAAGAGAACGAGAATTTTTTAATAATATCTATAAATTTCTCTTAGCACATTGCATTAAATATTGCTACTCTTCTGTTGTTTGGACCGTATTCGGAACGCATGTATGTATGTAGGCACGTATCTATGTGCATATATGAGTGTACACGCACATACATTCAAGCATGCATAAACACATACCATACATACATTTTTTAAGTCGGTCCCGATAACAGAAGAGTACCTATGAACATAGTAAAACTTTCTTTTCGAAAATCAATAATCAAAAAGTAAGAAAAAAGTTACCTCACAAAACGTCTTTGTATACTTTAAAGAAATCTGCCTGTATTAGTAAATATTGTAATATTTCTCTTAGTTAGTATTTTGTAGGGTATCCTATAGCATTTACGACAGCTTTCTGGAGCATAGTGTTCACTAGTTCACGTGAAATTTTCACAGATTTCCTAAATACAAATCTCTGATCACATTGAGTTAACTTCGCCGGACGACCTCTTCTTAATTTTATTTCGATACGATTTTCTTCTTTAAAGCGTTTTATCATATATTGTATCGTAGAAGGGGATAGATTTTCTAATTCAGAGATATTACGGATCGATTTCCACACTTATAATGAAAAATGATCAATTTTCGAATGCTATTTGTTGTTTCCTTACGAGTATGAGCCATTTTTAAATATTAAAATAAATATAACGAAGTAAGCAAGCAAAGAATAACGCCAAACGATTTTTTAACCGTCACCAAAATGCAAAAATAAAAACAAGTGGCAGACGACAATTTTATTTAGGAAATTTTACGAAAATGCTTCGGCGTATGATCACTTTGTAGCGTGTTTTATCTATGCCTCCTCACATTTGCAATTTTAGAAAACGAAAGTAAGTCAGTATTAAAGAAAAAGTTTGGTTTTATTCAAAATCCTATGGAGAAGATACGAAAAAATACTGGGCTTTATATTCGAATTCAATTCAGGGCTACATCCTTTTTTCTACAAATTCTGAAAGTGCACGAACACTTCTGGGAGCTGCTATATGTATTACATTATTTATCTCAAGTTTTAAAAGCAACAAATTTCAATTCAACAGCAATATCACAAAATATTTAAAAGAGCATACCATTAGAATTTCCGATACACTCCTGCGCTGGAGATAATAATGTTTTTTTTTTCCTTGTAGTGTTGCCGTTGCTTGCTTTGAAATAGTCGAGTTTGTTAATCAAAAAATCGTTAAAGTTTCACAAACTATGAAATAGATAATAAATTTCAAATTTGGGCTTCCAGATGATGTCCATATTCGAGTGAAAGACTATGTTATTCAGAATCTGATGTTTCTGGGTAGCGTTGTTTTTTTACAGTGCGAGAAACACGTACTATACATTCATGTAGATTCTTCATTATTTAATTTCGTTAAATATAACGCAGGGCTCTAATATTTGGTGGCATCAATTTGAAAAGTTAAACGTCGTTTATAGTTAACCAACGCAAAATGGCAAAACGAAATTAATAGCCCTTCTGGGCAAACTGCCCCTTTGAATTAAAAAATCGAAACATATTCGGATAAAAATGTTGAAAGCGCCACCTGACGGCTAGCAGCATTAATGCACGTTATTACAAATTAATGATTCTAGCCAGGTGACTTTACAATGAAAGTATAAGAAAATATATTGTATATCAACTGCATATTATTTATAAAAGTGGTATGTTTTGCACATAAAAATATTTTGTTTTAATATTCTAAGAATTAAAATTTTCTGTTTCAGAAATTTGACCGGAAAGACATGGTTATGTTTTGGGAACCAGAGAAAATGGTCGTCATTGAACAGATTCCGTTTTCTGTTCCACAAAAATGTCAACCTGTCTTACTTTGGACCACGAATAACTGTTTCCGGCTCCCAAAGGATTCGCAATAAGTCTGAATCATTTGGGATTCTTAATTTATTTCTTTTTTGTTTCTTGTAATTTCGTAAAAAAAATCCGAATAAAAACGTTAAAAGTTGAATCATTTTCTTTCTTCATTTCCATGCTTCACATGTACATTTTTGAAACCATTGCCTTTTTTATTCTGTATTTTTAAACACATCATCGTTGTACAAAAATTTCAGTACAAATTTAATACAGTAAAACTTACTGATAATTATTTACAAAATAATATCACATTTTATGAATAGAAAAAAAAGCTAATGTGAAACTAATTCTCTTTTATAGCAAATTCTTTAACATTATAGAAAAATATGTATCATTTGCAAAACGTCTTTTGCATAAAAGGTTATTAATATGCATTTAATACAATGGCTTAGTTTTCCAAATATATGTAATTTCATACACTATTTTACGTTTCAAAGTGAAATCCTATTAGTTTTTCAAAGGGAGTTATACAGATGAAGATGAAAAATTTTAGATCACTTACAAAAAGAACAACTGAAAGGTTTATGACCCAAGATCATGAAGTAAGTGTGATAGCCAGGGCTGTGGAGTCGGTAGAGAAAATGACCGATATATGTAAACATATATGCGTGGGTTACAGCTTATTTTTTAATATAAAAGAAGTAATAGATGCTACAGAAAGGAAAAAAAATTATGGCATAGCAAATTATTTATATTAATTAGCATTTATTATGAAATGGAAAAACTGGCATTAGTTATTTCTAAGAAACAGTATAGCTTCGACATGATCTTCTTTGTTGGAGGCCCACAGATGCACAGATCCGATTTGATAAACTTCAGAGCTGAGAACTTTCCGCACTAACTTGACTAGGATTGGAAGAGCTGTTACTGTTAGGGCTACTTCTTTTAACATTTCAAGATAGACTTTTATACGTTCTAAAAGAGGTGCCTTGCAAGCGCAATCATATATCTCTCTTTCTTCAAAGGCCGTGTAGAAATCTTGTTTGTATTTTTTCATTTTTATATCTAAAGGCTCTTGGTTCTTTATTTTCATTCGCTTTGCGTTAGCCATTTCAATATTATCCAAAAATATTTCTTAAAATCTAATTCATCACTAAAAAAGAATGATAGAGACTCAATTGCAATGCCTGCAGTTTGACTGTCTCGATTCGAATTCTCCAATTGTTCTGAGAATAATTTCATTCTTAATTTCATAGATGACTTTCCTTGCCTTTTTAATTTGGTCGTCATCCAAGAAAATACGGTGTTTCGGATCTACATATATTGAACCCAGCAAGATCTCATTGTCTAGCAAACTAGTTTCTCTTTTCTTTATTGAAGAAATGATTCCTTCTGCAATAAACCCTCCATTTCAGAAAGAACAAACATCTCATTCTTCCATTCTCGCCTCCTGTCAATTCTTCAGATTGCAACTTTTTTGTGGTTATATACGGCGTAGAAAGAAGAGTTTCCAATTCTGCAAGATCATTCCACAGTCTTTCTGTTAGTGAAACATTAAGATTATCTACTTCTTCTAAAAAAGTTCTTAATTCCAAAAACTCTTTATCATCAAATATGTAATTCCTTATCGCGTTGATCAATAATTGCTCCTTTTCCTGCTCGCTTCCTAAGAATGGCATTAATTTTAGGAGTTCTTGCTGCTATTACTGCTTACCTAAATTTACCAGTAAGATTTGTAACTAAATGAATCAGTTTAATTGCTAATGGTAAATATCACATCCATCCTTATATTTATTTATTAATATGTCAATAAAATAGAAAATAACTATTTATTAATGTATACAGTTCGCAAACAAAAATAATAACTCAGCTTGTCATTAATTTTTTTTCAATTCATTTCAAATTCAAACTGTCCAATAAAAACTGGAGTCAGTGTCTACCTGTTTTTAGCTACTCCAGCTCCGACTCCTTTTACCCCATAACTCTTAATAAGAATTTCTTGTTAGTGCATTCCAAAAAGTGACGTGGCTACTGCATTAACATGTTATATCCACGTCTTATCCAATTTAATGGCAAAATTTGATTTACAAACTCTTGGATTATGGTCTGCAGACATGATTTCACAGATGGTCTGGATTACATATGCGTATCAGTAAGCTATTACCCATAAGCTTTACCTTAAAACCCATAAGATCTTCGAATATGTGACAGTTGCAAGAATCTCTATAACTTATTTATTTTAAAAGCAATTACTTCCAACTTTTTACTGCTGACTACATAATATAGCTGCTTTCTGAAATACTAATAAGAAAGTTTGTGTTGCCACAAATATTTTATGATTTAATCCGCTTTGTGACCAAATGTTTCGACCTTGCGAGCACAGTTTAAAACATTCTGTTGCATAATTTAATTCCATATTTAATATGTAGCTTTTTAAACACTTGGAAACTACTGTGAAAAAAAAATTCTAAGAATTTCATGTTAAATTTTTATTTTATTTGGAGTCGAGTTTATAAAATGTATTTTATTAAGAAAACGTGTAATGTTTCCGTCCATAAAATTTTTTAGTATTAAACCATTCATCAGATTTTTGGCTCAGTTAAAGAATAGGGCTCGTATAAAGAATTCCATTCAATTTCAAGTATGTACCATTTACCATTTTTAAAATATCGTGCGCGCAAGGTGGAAACGTGACGAAATATTTTGTCACAAAGCGGATTAAATTACAAAAATATTTGTGGCAACATTAACTTTCTGGTTACTAGTTCCCAAAGCAGCTATATTATGTAGCCGGCTGTAAAAAGTTGGAAGTAATTGCTTTTGAAATAAATAAAATATCTCAATTCTTTCGACAGTCACATATTCAAAAAGATCATAAGGGTTTTAAGGTGTATGAGCCCCCTCAAGCAAAATAAGCAGGTAGTTTCATGCTATTGTGCAATTTCATGAAACTGGCATTTGCTAAAGTAAAACACTGATATTTTTGGTGTTAGCCATACATAATATTTATTATTATTAAAGGATTTATTTAATTGGATAGGCATCTATTATTATTTGAATACATATTGTTTCCTGTTTGTGGCAACACCAACATCACTTGCTGTCTCACTTCCGTCTGTATCTCTGCTCTGTCTACGTAATGTAAAGTATGAAGCATGTATGAAACATAACCTCATATGCAGTGACTTAAGACTCCCCCAGCCAGCTTTCACTGGAATGCCCAGACATCAACTTCTTTGCCAGCACCTCGCACGGATCTCATAGCTATTGCCACATCATGATTCGTTACTCCTGAATAATGCTACACTACCATTCAAAAAGTGACTGCTGCATTCACTAAGGACAGGGCAGTGCCCAGGAGCCCTTTAGTCAGAAATGCTTAGTTTAAGGACGATCATAGTGAAATACTGTGTAGTGTTTTAAATGTTTAAATATTCAGATATTTTTTTTAATTGACGAGTTCTTTTTTCAAAAATATGCATACTTTATTCTTTACAATATTTATATATGTAACATCATATTTTGAGTTTTATTTAACCAGAATGAATTATAATGACTACAAGGAACATAAAAAATCTGCCCATAATATTTCAGCTTGGTTTTACTATTTATAAATAATAATACTATTTACAAAAATTATATTCATCCAAAACCATCAAGACAAGAGACCGAGTTGTAAGAAGATGAAAGACTTCGAGGCAAATATTTAGAGGGAGTATGGCACTCATTATTAACAATAACCAGCGTGGGTGTAAAAAGAATTTTTTCAACTGCAGGTAATTTGTTCCTAAACATACTCTGGGATTAATGACTGTTCAACAGATGCATCATGTATTTTACGATCACATTTCGAAAATATGCATTTAATAAATTAGTTGTTTCTCCCCTATTAGCTATTTCTACTAGGTTTTTTTTTTTGCGATTATTGATTTGCACTTCTGTAGCAGAAGAAAAGGCTTTATATTTAAACCTTCAAAATTAGTACTGCAAATTTATGAATATTACGCTGCTTCTTGTTGCTTTAACTCCTCCAATAAATACATAATTAGATATTATATAACAGACTACACAACAAGATTTTTATGTGACATTTACTCTTCTTAATAATAATACCATATATATTTTTCCTTTATTGTATTATGATGTTGGAATGGTTTACTTTTTCATATTATATTTTTTGTTTCTTATGCTATAAATTATTTTACTGCTCTTATTAATAATATTTGTCCCTTTATTTATGTATAAATTTGTAAATAATTTTTCTTTTACAGATTATGCATTTTTTGTATAAAACTAATAAATTTAGCAAAAAAACATTTGTAAGATCTTTTGGTTAGTACCTTTTTTGAAAAATTCCTAATGCCGGTATTCTGGTACAATGTTTGAAAAATACAGAATACCAGTAAGTATTTTTAGTGAGGCACTGCAATCACTAGACATGACTACATATGAAAACAATATTACACATTTTAGTTATAGTATTATTTTGTGTTATTTTAGTGGAAACTTTTAATTTTTTACACGTTTCCACAATTTTCATTTTACATGTACATTGAACGTCAGTTAACTGTTCCTGACATCTAAAACAATTGTTCATATTTCTCTACTTCAATTTTTTTTCATCCTTTCAACAAATTACTTTTCTGGTCAACAACATTATTGTTTGTACTTATGAAAATATTTCCATTGCAGTTGTTACATTGAAAACCCAGCCTGTTTTCCCTTTTATATGCATGTTTTAATCAAAAAAGACCCACCATCCTAAACTAGGGCTTTGGGTACTCTGAGTTTTGATTTATTTTTTTCCTAAGATTTAGTTAAAACAACAGTTGATATAGCCAACATAGTATAGTCGACAAGCTAAATAGAAGAAAAAAAAAAAAAAAAAAGAGAAAAAAAAAAAATTTGATAATATAACTGTATAATACTGTCCATCTATCTCTCTGTATACACATATTCACATCTCTCTCTCTTTACATATATACATATATTTATAGGTTCTACATGTATACATATAAAATGGCTAATGCGAATCACGCAATTGTTTTGGAATAACGAACAAAGCATCAAGTGTCCTAAACTGACCGTTCTTTACATTTATGCGACGGGATGGAAAATGAAAAACGAAGGTTAATACAGGAATGATGGCCAAAA